AGGACAGTGGGTGTGGAGGGAGGGCAGAGGGTGGGGTGGGAACTGGAAGGAGGGGATTTATGGGGGGGAAAAAAGAGGAACAAATGTAATAATCTGAAAAATAAAGATTTAATAAAAATTTAAAAAAAGAGCTTCCAGGGAGAAGGTGCCATTGATGTCCCAGGATAGTCCCTGTAGCGTGGTGTCCACACCTCAGTCCCATCCTGAGCGGAAGGGAGGATCCATCAGGAGCTCTGCCTCCTGCTCCGGGGGCCTCCACACCTGCGGGGTCCACACAGGTGTTAGCTCAGAGACTCGGCCACTTTGGCTCTAACTCCAGGCAGAGCTGGACAGCTTGGCCCCACCTGCACCTCAGGACCAATCACTGACCTTCCCCGAGAGAGACAGGCCTGCTCACCTGGTGTAGTAGAGCCAGGTGAGGACATAGGTGAAGAGAAAGCCAGCCCCCATGAGGGCCCCTCTGATCAGGGTGAGGACCAGGGGCCAGGAGCCCTGCTGCTCCTCGGTCACACATCTGCTGGAGTGAGGGCTGCCTGGGGATGACGAGAGAAGGGTGACGTGTTGTCCAGGTCTCAGTCCACCAACAGCCCAACACCAGACCAGGCGGCCGCCCCTCACACCTGTCCTGCACCTCACTCTGCACAGAGAGGCTGAAGGAGACGTGCTGGGAGCCCAGCGGGTGCTGAGCCCGGTAGGTGAACCCCCCCCCCCCTCCGCCACCCATGGGGCAGCTCCAGGAGCCCTGGGGCTGAGGGCTGGAGGGGCTCAGGGCTTGTTCCCCCAGCACCAGCTCAGGTGACACCACCCACTCCCAGGACTCAGTCTCTCCTCTTCCCACCTCCTTGCAGAACCCACTGTGGGTTCTGTTCAGGCTGGAGATGGAAGGCCCTGTCCTAGCAATTCCCTCTGTCCCCTCGTAGCCCCCACCCCAGCCCTGCCTTCTCTGTGACCCACTCCTTTCTCCGTGGCCTCTGCCCCAAGCAGGCCCTGACCTGGCAGCAGCAGGACAGAGGCGCTCTGGGCCCCGTGCACATTCCGGGCCTCACAGCTGAGACTGAGGTCAGGGCTGAGCTCCTCCTTGAGGCTCAGGGAGCTGTTGGTCCAGGGCCCCTCTGAGCTGGAGGTGACCACGTGGGACGCGACCGCATGGGAGGAGTTGCTGTGGTTCCCCTCCAGCAGCCCAGCCCCCAGCTGCCAGCACAGGGAAGGGGCTGGCTGGGCCCTGGAGGAGCAGCTGCAGTGCAGACCCTGGTCCTCCCAGGAGCAGGAGGGTCCCAGCAGCTGCGGGGGGTCTGTGGGGAGCGAGGAGGAGGGTCTGCCTCTAATCTCCCCAGAACCCAGCTGACCTGCCCCCCGGGGTCTCCCCACTCACAGACCACGGAGAGGCTGAGAGAGACGCTGTGGGAGCCCAGCGGGGGCCGAGCTTG